CATGGGTCTCCTTTCTGAAGGATGTCCGTTGTCGTGGTCTGAAACAAAACAGTACAGAGGCGAAGTTCGTAAACACGGTGTTTTACAGTTTCTCCACATTTACAACAGAGAGAAAGACAGAGACCATGATGGTCTGAAATGGAGAGATGAGGTGAGATACCATAATGATCTTTAATATGTAGGCGACTGGATTTAAATGCCCAGTTTTGCTTCAGCAAGAACTGGGCTTCCTAAGCTTCGATTTGCTTATTCATATTTTCATTTTACTCATTGATTTCGAGCACAATTTGAAGTAGATAAACTACAGTAAGCATTCATTCGCTCCGACGAAGGGCTAACGCTCGAAACGTCAGCTTTTGTAATCGTTACGGTGGCCAATTTACCATTTCAACTTTGTTGATATATCCAAATTATTAAACTACAGTGAGCGTTTGACTTCTACGTGCAAAGTCACTTCAGACACTATTCCATGCTGTATGTAGTTGCGACGTCATTTTAAAAATGATTCACATTATCTTGTGAAGGTACGACGCCGTTTTTACTACTACGAAAACGGTTGCTTGAGGGCATGCCACGAGGGAATGGCAAAACAGTACAGTTTAAGTCAAACAGAATTGAGATAATTATCTTCAATATTGCACACTCAATATTGCTTATTATTATCCAACTACACACCGTAGAGTACAATTAACGCCATAGACGAGTACAAATATCACGCGGTATTTGTACTCCAGAAAACCGGTTTGACAAGTTTTCTCGCATCGGGCAAGCGATGAAATTACGAAAAAAAAAATGGCGGACAATTTGAATCATATTTCTAACGAAGAACGGTCTGTATGGCTGGCAAATGTAGATCCAAGTTTATTAGATGAATCGAACGAAGAGAGACAGCTAGACGATTGGGAAATTTCTTCTTTGATTGAAGGAAATAAAAGTAGCAACACGACAACCCGCCAATTCCGTTCTGGCTTCGCATGCTTCTGTCAGTAAAGTGAATATCCGCGAAGTTCGCCCGCACTGAAATAACAATTTGGCACGTTGGATAATAAATAACTTATCAGACGTTTTGTTGTGTAGTATCGCTGAGTATTTTTAATCGTTATTTGTATTTTGACGAGCCTGTAGGGCTCAAAATACGGCACAACTGGTCAAAATACTTAGTTCTTATTAACCGAGCGGGAGGTCTGTATGAGAGAATCTTGACCGAGGTCGCAAGTACAGACCGAACGCAGTGAGGTGTGTACCAGCGACCGAGGTCAAGATTCTCCCATACAAACCGACCTAGCTCGGTTAATAAGATGTTTATTATATGGCTGTGTCTTATACGCCAGTTTTCTATATTCTTTGTACCTTTTTTTTTCTAGACCGGTCTAGTTGCCGGTCTAGATGGGAAAATCTACATCGCTTTCAATATTGATTTCAGCCAATCAAACTCGTGACTTCGGTAGTTCCTAGTCCTTGTGAGACACAGCCATATAATAATCAGCGATATTAAACAACAAAACGTCTAATAAGATATAACAATTATGTGACAAGGTAGTCCTGATATATCTCTATGTCCGTATTATGCCATACGGGATCGTTGCCGAAATGTTTCCACGGAAAGGGTCCTAAGCCGTGTACTTTTACTTTCCAAAGGCAGCAAATTCAAAATAAACAAATTTGGTTCGAGCGTCAATCTTAGAACTACTTGCTAATCTCCTTACCTCTAGCCATACTGGGAAATACTGGCCCTCGGTTGTTTTTGTGCCGGGACGTCGCTGCCCTCGGGATGGTACTCCCCGGTACGGCCCTCGCGCTCGGTTAGTAAGAAGTCATTACATTCTCAAATAATTTTATTCAAAATCTTCCATTTCAGATGGAGTACACCCTTTTGAAATTTGACCACGAAAACGAGAAAGTTTACTGCAATTTGAAGGCAAAGGATGTTCTGGATGATTTGTCACTTGTAGAACTTACCGGT